TCTCAATTGACCATTCATTCATTCAATCAACAAGTCATATATACTCATACTGAAACCACTACTCCTGCCCCCCAGTGCAAACCCTTAGCTCTTTGAGGGCAAAGGCCAGAGCTTTTAATCCCTCACAATGCTAAGGGTACATTTAGTAAGACTTTAGTAAGTATGTTTATGAATGAATGTAACAGAAACAGCTCCAGAGAATACTTAATATTATAGGAGAAGAAACTGAAGCCCAGATATGATAGGTGACTTGAATTTTGAATATGAAAGGGACCAATTTTAAGTGTTTCCTTCAGGAAGTTGCTTGATGAAATAATTATTAAACTGCTTCATTTTGTCTTTGGGAAGCAGAAAGCAAAAGGTTTGGAGAAGCCACAAACCAGAGAAAGGTCAAAGTTTAACAACCACCTCTGTCCAGGCTCAGTGTATAGTGCATAGTTCCTATAATAATAAAACCCTGATAGTGTCAAAACTGCATTAAAAAATAAATTCTTGCCCTGGCTGGTTTTGCTCAATGGTTAGAGCATTGGCCCACAGACCAGAGTCACGGGTTCAGTTCTGATCAAGGGCATTTACCTTGGTTGTATGTTTGGTCCCTGGCCCTGGTTAGGGTTGTGCAGGAGGCAACTAATCGATGTCTCTCTCTCTCTCTCTATCTATCCTTCCCTCCCTCCCTCCCATTCTGTCTGAAATTAAATGGAAAACTATCCTTGAGTGAGGATTGAAAAATAAATAAATTTTTAAATTCCAACAGTAATTGTTTTCAGGAAGCAGAGACAGTTTTCAAAACTTAATTGCAATATAATTGGGACCCAAATACAGAATGTTTATGCGGAAATAGAAGCAACTGTACATGTGTAGGCCTTATAAGAGTTACAAATAAAGTTTGTTACTAACACTGTCAATTCATGAATAAAGGTTGACCCTCAGATTGCTTGTATTTCTACAGAAAGAGTTGATGACATGGCTGTTCCTCATATGCACCTAGCAACTTCAGAAGATTTTACTCACAATTTTTAAATGTGATTTTAACTCAGTTACATTTATTGTTAATTCATATTTGCACATAATTAATAGCTATTGGCAGTTAATGGGGCATAATATAAATACCTATTGAATATTTCATATCAATTTATAGAAGTATAATGAAACTCGTGGTTCACACACACACACAACACACACAAAAGAGATTTGATCAGTATGCAAGTTGAAACATGGATAATTTTCTTAAGACTATATAAAATTAGCGATTAAACATTATGAAAATATAGAACAAAATTTCCTGGTGTGTTTGCAACTGTAACTTTCCAAAGCATGCCAATTCCATATGTTTTTTTTTTTATTAATAAAGGAATCTTCATTGAATTTTTGTTTAGAGAGAATAAGCACTTAAATCAAAGTACTTGGATTTAAATTCTGGTTTGCTTGTTACTAAAAGAGTAACCTTGAACAAGTGACTTTAACTCCTCTGAGTCTCATACCTTCATCTACAAAATGATGAAGTTGACAATATTACCATCTCATGGTGGTGTGTTAAGAACCAAATGAGAGGAAAACTTCTCAGGATAGCTCTTGCACGTGGTAAACTCTCATTAAATGTTATCTATTATTTTTATCATTATTATTACTAAAATACATGAGTTTCAACAAGCCAAACACAGAGGTAGATAAATAAAAACCCTCTCTTTTCCCATCCACCTCTATTCCAAACACCAAATTCATTAGTAATAACTGATTGACAAATTCTCTCTTACTTTTCTCTGGCTTACACCCATTATACATATAAGCATATAAGCATATCATACACATACATATAATGTGTGTGTATGCTTTCTTTTCTTTTTCTTTTTTATTGATTTGAGAGAGAGAGTAAGGGAGAGAGAGAGAGAAACATCAATGAAAAAAAAACATCCATTGACTGCCTCCTGCATGCTCCCTACTGGGGATGGAACCCACAACCCAGGCATGTACTCTGACCAGGAATCAAACCAACAACCTCCAGGTGCACAGTATGACACTCAACCAACTGAGCCACATAGGCTAGGGCTGCATGACTTCTTAATGTAAATTTGTGCACACACATGCATGTGAACATAAAGACACTGATATGTGCAAACTTACTATTTTTTTAACCTTAATATACAATGGCCATATTTCCAGGCCAAAAAATATAAATCACTATTTTCATAGACTTTACTACTCCATTGTATGAATATATATATATATATATATATTTTTTTTTTGCATTTTAAAAAATCCTCACCCAAGGACATTTTTCCATATTTTGTTCAGATAGAGTGGGAGGGAGAGAGAGAGAAACGTGGACGTGAAAGGGACACATCGAGTGGCTGCCACCCGCACGACCCAACCAGAGCCGGGGACAAACTGCAACCGAAGTACCTGCCCTTAGCAGGAATTGAACCCGGGACTCTCTGGACCACAGGCCGACACTCTAACCACTGAGTCAAACCGGCCAGGGCATGAATATATTTCATTCAACTAAAATATCCCTATAGATAGCCACTCAAATTGTTTACTGTTTACACCCTACCATCAATAATTTGTATTATGCTTCTTTATACTGGTACTTGCCAAAATATTCTTTTATATTAGTATTTTTATTTTGGTAGAAAGATTTCCAACATTGGGATCGCTGTCACAAAGTGTATGAATATCTAAATTTTAATACATATAGTAAGATGACAATACAAAAAAGTTATTTTATTTCACATATTCACTGGCATGAGTGCGCTAATGTCCCTATAATTTCATCAGTATTAATTGTTTCTGGCCTTGTAAATTACTGCAGATCTGATGGGTAAAGAGCGTATTTGCCTGACTGCCAGAGAGGTTGAGGCTCTCTTCATTTGCTTAGCGGACATGTGCATTTCCCACTGCAGCAAACTGCCCTCTCCTACCCTTGCCCTTTCATTTCCTAAAGGGTTGTTTGTTTGCTTGTTTTTATTCTTACCCGAGGACATTTTTTTCCATTTTTTGTTCAGATAGAGTGGGAGGGAGAGAGAGGAAGAGAGAGAGAAAGAGAGAGAGAGAGAAACATGCACGTGAAAGGGACACATGGAGTGGCCGCCACCCGCACGACCAACCAGGGCCGGAGACAAACTGCAACCGAGGTACGTGCCCTTAGTGGGAACCGAACCCGGGTCTCTCTGGACCGCAGGTCGAAACTCTAACCACTGAGCAAAACTGGCCAGCACTAAAGGATTGTTTTTTTAATAATGTCTAGGATTCGAACGGATATGATAATATCAAGCCTTTGCTTATCACATATGTTGCTAATACATTTCCTCCAATATATTGTCCTTGGTCTTTTGCCATATATTCTGTACAATATGCTTTGAAACCTTATTTTAGAAATGATAATGCCAACCTAAATGAGTGCTTTTCATAGTTCATTAAAATATGTTTATATATAGGGATACGATACCTTTTGTACTATATAGGTAGAATTGTTTTTGCCACTAGAGTAGGAATGAGTCATTATCTCTCCACCCACACTCCACCTCTCCTTAATTCACCCCCCTTGTCCCTTACACCCATAATCCTAAGTGCCCACAAGAGTGCCTAGACCATCACAGGCATTCAGTACATATTTACTGAGTCAGTGAACTTTCAAATTTCAATATGTGATCTATAAAAATAAAGTTCCGCCCTGGCCGGTTTGGCTCAGCGGTTAGAGCGTCAACCTGCGGTCCAGAGAGACCCGGGTTTGGTTCCCGCTAAGGGCACATACCTCTGTTGCAGTTTGTCCCCGGTCCTGGTTGGTCGTGCGGGTGGTAGCCACTTGATGTGTCCCTTTCACGTCGATGTTTCTTTCTCTCTCTCTCCCATTCTATCTGTACAAAAAATGGAAAAATGTCCTCAGGAGAGGATAAAAAATAAAGAAATAAAAATAAAGTTCCCCTGTCAGCACAAAATGGAATTATTCTTTATCAAATTTGCAAGTATTTAGAATGGTCTGAACTGAAACATAGACTATCAAATTCACCAGGGGTGCAGGTAGAGGTATGTATACTGAAGGGAGCACCCCAAATATTATAAACCGTTATTCTCCCCCGCAGCTGCAGGCATTGATTTTCATGATGGTTTTGGGTTCTCTGAACTCTTCTGAGGGCAGCTAGTAGTAATAATATTCACGTCTATTTCCTTATTTATTTTTATTTTTTAGTTTTTAAATTATAGTTGACATTCAATTTTATCTTATATTAGTTTCAGGTGTGCAGCATAGTGGTTAGACATTTATATAATTTATGAAGTGATCCCCCTCTTAAGTCTAGTGCCCACCTGGCACCATACATAGTTATTATAATATTGACTATATTCCCTATAAGGCACTTTACACCCTTAAAGCTCTTTTGTAACTACCAAGTAGTACTTCTTAATCCCTTACCCTTTTATTATTTATTTCCATTTATAACATTTTTCTTTTCACAAGAACCTCAGTCATATGTAACAGTGAAATAATAATAAATAATAAGTTGGAATTTAAAAATAAGAGCCAATAAAAAAGAGAAAACAAATATAACCATCAATAGTGTCAACAGATATGTTTTATCTGAGCTTTAATTTTGATTCTAACCTTCCTAGTGACCAGAGCAAATAAAGAAATATGATTGGTTGTATAGGTCTCCTGATCAGAAAGGAGGAAAGTACCAGTTTTTCATAGAAAGCAAAGCTCTTTTTGGCTCCAAAGATTGATAACAATTTTGTAAATGCTACTTGCATGTTAGGGCTATGAATTTGCTATGTCAGGCATTTAAAATGCTTGGAAGAATTAATTGTATTAAATGTAATAATGTGGTTTGAAATATATAATGAATTTAAATTAATTTCCCATATGAGATTGTTTAGAAAAAATTATATGTGAATTTTGAGATTAATATAGCATTAATGAAAGATCAGATTAAAGTAATTTTCTTATTTTAGTCAAATACTTCTAGAGTTTGGCAAGAAGATTTGCAAACTGGACTTGAAGGTTTGCAAAAATTGTGACTTTAATAAATTGAATGCTAATTTAAAACCCCAAACTCTATAAATTTATTGTTCTAAACTGTCCAAATGTTTCCCTTGGACATTTAAAAAAGTCACACTAACACCCATAAGATAACTAAAGGAATCAACTCAAAATGAGGTATCTAAGAATTTCTGTGAGTGCCAAAGATTTTAGTTGTTAGGTTTTAGTTTCAGTCCTTCTTTCTAATAAATCAGAATCAATTATCTTCCAAGGCTGCTTTGTTTTGTGATACACCAAATCCTTAGTTGAAGTATATCAGCCAAACAGGGCTCAGGGGAACAAACAGCCAGTTCATCTGAGAGTGAATTCCAAATTTAAAAATATGATATAAAGAAGAGAGAAGGAATGTGAAACCCAGCATTTGTTTTAAATTGTTCAGGATTCTTTCCTGGTTTGTCAAGCCAATATTCTTCCTGCCTACCCAGATTCTTGTGGGGCTATGAAAATGCAAATTTATTAAGAACATCAATAACAGAGTTTGTGCAGCTTGGCTAATAGCTGAGCGAGGTCAAGCAGAATGAGCCTCGGCTGTGCGGGAGGCTGGAAAGCAAGTGCTTCCATCCTAGCTCCCAGGCTGGTTACTTAACTGCTCTTATTTCCTGATCTATATGTAAATTCTTCATCATCATTCCTACCACATAGGTTATTAGGAAAATTGTATGAGGTAATCTCCATAGCGGGCATTTAATAATTAATTAGGATTTCTTTTCCTTTCTAGTTCACAGAGTTTTTATTATATTTCATGAGAATTAAGTCTTCGATTTTGCTACTCTCCTAGTTTTAAAATGTAGTGAACAATTTAAGCGAATGAAAGGTGCTTTCCATGAGTAAATAATAGCTTCTCAGGTCATCAGTGGCACTTTTGGGTCTCAGCATCTATGTGTATTTCATTTTTTAAAGCAATTTGCTCTAAAGCTTACAGAAAACGATTTAATGTAATGGAGGGAAAAAATGTCTCCACGTATCTCCAAAAGAATCTGAACTCTGAAGTTTACTAATTTTTCTACCTGAAAGACTGAGTGATGAGATTGTCCAACGAAGGGAAAAGGCCTAGGCAGGCATGAGGGACTCTTTGGTATACATATAGCCGTGTGCGGGAAAAGTGGGGTGTGCGGGAAAAGTGGGGTGAGCGGAAAGGCAAGGAGAGCTGCAAGGCTGAACCCTGCGGGAACACCCCGCTTGGCTTCCCTCCGAAGGGCATATCACGGAGTGTGGCGGGCTCTGGAGAAGATGCCTGGGCTTGGGGTGCTTCTGTGCGCCTACCCCGCCAGAGATGACGAACTTCTGGGCAGGACACAGAGGGTCCTGAAAAAGATAAACCAGAAGGCAAAGGGCTGAGAGGAATTCATGCAAAGAAAGAATATAAATGGCAAAGGTGACCAAAAAAAGACAGTGCGGGAGCATAGTTAGCCAATTCAGTGAGCTCTTCCTATAAAGATTTTTTCCAGATGTGATGAGTGGCTTGGGAAAAGCTAGATTAAGAGTGTGATCATGGAGGGGTAATACCCACCAAGGGGCATAGGCACGGTCGTATATAAGCAAGGACAGCTGTAGGAGTGCTGTCTTCCTTTGGTACATGGTATCTGAAATGTGCCAGGAAGCCTTTTTGCTAAGTCCTGCCAAATCCGTCTGCTGACACATCATGCGATGTGAATGACATCACCACAGAAAAAGCAGGAAGCATCTCCCAGGATTATGAAGTCTGGGCTGGGAAACAAATATGGACACAACATGATTGGTCTGCAACAGTGAGCTGAATATAATAGCAATGAGAAATTTCCACAGGATAAATGCAAAGTTTTCAATAAATAAGTTTAGAAAGAGGGTTGCTTCGATCTCTGTCAAGCAAGCCAAACCTGGAATGCTCTTGAAGAAGGACCAGAGGAAGGGGACCAGCCAGAGTTAAAAGCATTGAGGATGATTGGGAAACAATACTGACTAAGACAGCCTTCAGATACTTTCAGACCTATTAGATGGAGAAGGATTAGGTTTATTTTATGTAGTTTCAGAGGACTGAACAAGGTCAGTAAGTGGATCTTGCCAGGAGGTAGATTTTGGCACAGTATAAAAAGAACATCTGAAGAATTAGAACTATATGAAAGGAAACAAAAACCCTGTGGGGTGGTGAGCTCCTCTTAATTGGAGATATTCAAGCACAGTCTGAACTACCAGTACTTATCAGGAATGTTGTCAAAGAGGATTTATGTATCTGAAAGCAACAGAGGCAGATCAGATTCTGTGGAGACCAAAGATATTTAATTTGGGGAGCCCTTTTTAAGAAGAAAGAATACAAAATTATGAATAAAAATTAGAGACCCTTGGAAAGAACTTTTTTATAAGTGAGGAATCCTTGAAACTTAAGCTTCATTAGCTTTGTCATAAATTCACATGAAGGATGTCAGTTGATTCAAACATGTAAGATTTGAATTTGTTTTAAATAATAAATAATTCTTCTTAATTTTAGAATTATTATTCTTTTATCTACAGGACAGCATAAAGGTAGCAGAAAGAGAGAAGTAAAATTAGATTCATTTAGGTTCCTAGCTTGCCTCTGTGTTTTCATAGCTGGGTAACCATGGGAAAATTACTTAACCTCTCTGAGCCTCAATTCCTTCATCTGTAAAATGCAGGTAATGATCTCTATCGTGAAATATTTGTTTGGGAAAAGTTAAATAAAATTGTATGTAAAGCTCTGTGTAATTAATGACAGCTAAATTGAAGGACTAATAAGATTTGGGTAGTCATAAGGAAAAGTTTACCTAAAATGCCATTTGGAATTATGTCACTCTGAAGATAATGAATGACTTTGTTTCACATGCCCTAATTTAAGGCATAAGCCTTAAAAGTTCATGAAATGACACAAAGCCACAATATTCACATTAGGCTTTAGACAACTAGCTTGTAAACAAACTAGAAAAATCATTTACAGAACTGATTGGCCAAGATAAAAACCGTTGTCTTTCTTGTCCCCTCTTCACTCTTCCAAAGTTTGGGGTCAGAATCAAGGACTAGGACATTTCTGGTCACTCCATCCCCCAAAAGCAGGTTGGCCAAGTTCAGGCACACACAGGTGGGTGACATTATCTGGAGGGTAGTGACTTAGCAGGAGTTCCTGTGCATGACACAACGCTAGATCACCATTCATCTAGAAGACCTGTTAGTGCAAGAGATATTCTTAGTCAGAAGTGATGGCATCACCTGGAAGCCTGTTAGAAATGCAGAATCCCAGGCCTACCCTTGCATTTTAACAAAAGCACCAGGTCATTTGAGGCACAGCAAAGTTTAAGAAGTGCCAATCTAGGGGGACTTCCGGTCAAGATGGTGGCATAGGTAAATGCAGTACTCGCCTCCTCCCACAACCACATCAAAATTACAACTACAGAACAACCATTATTCAGAACTGCCTGAAATCAAGCTGAATGGAAGTCCTACAACTATGAAATTAAAGAAGAATCCACATCGAGACTGGTAGGAGGGGCGGAGGCGCAACAGGCTGGTTCCACACCCACGTGTGGACGATACAAATCAGGAGGACACCTCAGCTGTGAAGGTTCTACCTGAGGAGCAAGGGGTCCCCACCCCATATCAAGCACCACAGCTTGGGGTTCCAGTACCAGGAAAAGAAGCCCCCATAACTTCTGGCTATAAAAACCAGTAGGAACTGAGGCTGCGGGAGGCTGAGGCTGCTGCAATCTCAGGCAGTTTCTCTTAAAGGGCCAGAACACGGACTTACTTAGACCCACCCCCTCCAGGCTCCAGGGTGGGAGGGGCAGCCTGAAAGACACGAGAGGCCTATAGGGAAGAACTGAGTTGTCTGTCATTGGGGCAAGAGCTGTAGGGCAGCTTTCTCCCACAAGCATGCTGGTGGAGGCCATTGTTCCTGTGGTGAGCCATTCCCCTACAGGGCAGTCGGTCATGCGCTGTATCTGGGCCTCCAGCAACCTGGCTCACACTGTTCGCCCCACCCAACTTTCAGGCTCACTCAAGCTGTTTCCAGTGGCTTTGTCATAGAATTGGCCTGCTTGGCTCTTGCTTCAGATTTTCCTAAATTCTCTCAAACAAATAGCACCTGGACTCAGTGAGCCCCATGCCTCTAGCTAACTGGCCCCAGGCCTGGCACTAAAAGCAGCCAGCTTTGGTTTACAGCTTGGTTTTGCTTGGGCACCTCCAAGCCCAGCACAAGAAGCAGCCATCTGCAGATCACTTTGTAGGTTATGCCTGATGGTCCCAAGTAGAACACAGGCAAAGTCTGACCTTACCCCAGAGCCAGCACACCCAATAGACAGCTTCAGACCACATTGAAGTACTACCACCCAACCACCTCCACAACAACACCTCAAGGAATGGATTCATTGGGTACCAGAGCACTGCTGAAGTAAGTCTTGCTCTGTGTGGTGGGCCCTGCACAGCTGATCCTCCAAGATAGTCAGAGGTCAGTGGTCAGTGGGTACAGCCAGTCCTTGCAGCTGATCAGCCTGAGTAAATCCCTCCCATTGATGCACCAACAGCAATCAAGACTCAATTACAACAGAAAGGTGTACAGTCCACATGAGGGGTGCACCTCAAAGGCCCAGCTGGGATGACCAGACAGGCTGTGCCACTGGATCCTACAGGATGCCTACTATATATATAATAGGCCACCCTGGGAAGCCCAGGAGACATAGAAGTTCTACCTAATACATAGAAACAAACACAGGGAAGCAGCCAAAATGAGGAGACAAAGAAGCATGCCCCAAATGAAAGAATAAAACAAAATTCCAGGAAAAGAACTAAACAAAATGGAGATAATCAATCTAACAGATGCAGAGTTCAAAACACTGGTATAAGGATGCTTAATGAACTTAGTGAGAATGTCAAGAAACTTAGTGAGACCCTCAAGAGCATAAAAAAAGGACCAGTCAGAACTGGAGGACGCACTAACTGAAATAAAGAATAATTTACAGGGAATCAATAGTAGAGTAGATGAAGCTAAGAATCAATCCATTGACTTAGAATATAAGGAAGCAAAAAACACCCAATCAGAACAAAGAATCCAAAAAAAATGTGGACAGTGTAAGGAGCCTTTGATATCTTCAAGCATACCAACATTCACATCATGGGGGTGCCAGAAGAAGAAGAGAGCGAGCAAGACATTGAAAACCTATTTGGAAAAATAATGACAGAAAGCTTCCCTAACTTGGTGAAGGAAACAGACATACAAGTCCGGAAGCACAGAGAGTCCCAAACAAGATGAATCCAAAGAGGTCCACACCAAGATACATCATCAAAATGTAAAAGGTTAAAGGCAAAGAGAGAATCTTAAAAGGAGCAAGAGAAAAGCAGTTAGTTACCTACAAGGGAGCTCTCATAAGACTGTCAGCTGATTTCTTCTGAGACATTTTGCAGGCCAGAAAGGAGTGGCAAGAGATATTCGAAGTGAGGAAAGCAACAACTGACAACCAAGATTACTCTATCCTACAAAACTATCATTTAGAGTCGATGGCCATATCAAGAGTTTCCCAGACAAGAAAAAGCTAAAGGAGTTCATCACCACCAAACCAGTATTATATGAAATGTTGAAGGGTCTTTTTGAAGAATAGAAGAACAATAATATAAACAATAAAATGGCAATTAATACATATCTATCAACAATCGAATCTACAAACAAAATGAGCAAGCAGAACATAGATTCAGAGATACAGAGAGCGTTTTGTTGGTTGCCAGATGGGAGAGGAGTTGGGTGAAAAAGATGAAGGAATTAGGAAGTACAAATTGGTTGTTAGACTAATGAACCTCAAAGGGAAGGAGGAAGGGAAGGCAGGAAAAGATAAACCAAAGAACTTATATGCATATATGCATAACCAATGGACCCAGACAATAGTGTGGGGAAGGCAGGAGGGGGTGGGAGAGGGGAGGAGGAGTTCAATGGGGGGAAAGTAAGGGGGACATCTGTAATACATTCATCAATAAAGATAAGTTTAAAAAGAAAAAGAAAGTGCCCTGGCCGATTTGGCTCAGCAGTTAGAGCGTCGGCCTGCGGTCCAGAGAGACCCAGGTTCGGTTTCCGCTAAGGGCGCGTACCTCGGTTGCAGTTAGTCCCTGGCCCTGGTTGGTTGTGCAAGTGGCAGCCACTCGATGTGTCCCTTTCACGTCGATGTTTCTCTCTCTCTCTCTCTCTTCCTCTCTCTCCCTCCCACTCTATCTGAACAAAAAATGGAAAAATGTCCTCGGGTGAGGATAAAAAAAAAAAAGAAAGAAAGTTAAAAAAAAAGTGCCAATCTATTCTACAATGTAACTGGCTTTCCCCCCTGGTGCTGTGCATTTGAGGTTCCCTTCTTTGGGATCTTGGAATTAATTTTCTTCTATGAGGTTAGAGAGGTGAGAAAGAGCAAGGGGCCCGCTGTTTCTAGGGAGAACACCCAGTCCACCTCAGTCTCAATGACCTTGCATTCTTTGGATTCTCTTCCTTGCATGCAACTCATGAGATAAGATAGTTCAAACCTGAGATAGCAAGATAAACTTGGTAGAAGGTCCAGCCATCTCTCTCTGGCTACCACATTCCTTTCCAAGAGGTAGAAGAGAAAAGATGGGACCAGGGGTTATCTCCCACTCCAGAGAGAAACTGTCTCTGTAAACTACTCTTCTCTTTTCCTCTTCCCCTCCCCCTTCCTCTCCTCTATCAGCTGGGCAAAATAAGCCAGGGTACAAATTATTTGGGAAAGACTCCTCCAGCACTGGAAAGAAAGGCCAAGGTGATAGGCCCTACTAGCACAGGGACTCTATCTTTTTCTACATAATTGTTGTGTTCTGGATCTGCTTTTCCTGGGCTTGGCTGTGACCTTACAGAACAAGGGGAGGGAACAAGAGAAACCTATTAGGCCAGAATTACTTCTAAACTTCCTGTCTAGACAAAGTCATCCTCCATCTGTCCCAGCACAGCTTTCCAGGGGGGCATTGGGAAGCTTTGGAAAGCTTAGCTAGTACTGAAAGACAGGCCTTTGCTGGCATTGACTCTGGGCATATATTAAGAGTAAACACTGCCCTGGCTGGTTTGGCTCAGTGGTTAGAGTGTCGGCCTACGGACCAGAGAGACCCAGGTTCGGTTCCCACTAGGGGCACGGATCTCAGTTACAGTTTGTCCCCGGCCCAGGTTGGGGTCTTGTGGGTGGCAACCACTCGATCTCTCTCTCTCTCTCTCTCTCTCTCTCTCTCTCTCTCTCTCTTCCTCCCTCTCTCCTTCCTGCTCTATCTGAAGAGGAATGCAAAAATGTCCTTGGGTGAGGATTTAAAAAAAAGAGTAAATACTTATTTAGCACTCAGTATGCTGTATATAAGTATTTTATATATATCAACTCATTTAATACCCCAGTAATCCTATAAGGTATGTACCAAAGTTGTTCCCATTTTACAGATGTGGAATCAGAGGCACTCAAAGTTGAAATAATTTGCAAAGTGGCCCAGAAAATAAACAGTAGAGCTGGGATTCAAACCTAGGCAAATCAAGCCAAGACTGCACTTAACTCGCCTCTGACATTCTCTCAGGAACCTGTAGGGGGCGTTGCCTGGTTTGGGTATTCCCACTTCCCCAGCCAGTTACCATCCTAATCGCATTACCATCCCATACAGAGCTCCTTTGTCAAAGCACAGCCACAGATTTTAAACCACAAAGATGTGAATGACTATGGTTGTTTGTTTAGTTGACCAACCAGATTTACAAAGGAGAAAAGGAAGTATATTGTGGGCTCAGGAAGACTTCCCACAGCACTAGTTTTAAAAAAAAGAAAGAAAACTGAAGTCCACATAGAATAATCAGGGTAATCCAGTCAAAGTGAGACAAAGAGTTACTCTTTTCCTAAACGGAATTTTCTAAGGGTAGGATTTGCAAAAACAGAACCAATTAAATTTGTTTCCTGTCCTCAGTCACAGTTCTTGCTTTGGGTAAAACAAGCATGCTGTTTACAAAGTACTTTCACAGATGTCTACTCCCTGATTTTTACAGCACCCCATAGAGGCTGAGCATTTTTGCCTAAAGTTACACGGGAACCAAGTGGCAGCGTTCAGACTGAGCCTGGCCTGTGGAGGGGCAGACCAGACACTCGAGCTTCACCATCTGCTCTCTGTTTCCTTAGTGGTAAAGTGGGGTGGGAAGAAGTGTGAGAACCTCATACCTTACATCTGGACATTTCTACTCACCCAGAAACAACAGCTAGCAGGCAGGTACTGAGGGCTTTAAAGTGCACCAAATGCTGACGTAAGGATGTCACCTGGTATAACTCGTTGAATCCACAACAAATCAGTGAGGAGCAAGCCCCCATTTTGCAGATGAAGAAAGTGAGGTACAGAAGTTCATTTATCAGACTCACCATTTTAGCAAAGGCAGAGCTCATAGTCAAACCAGGACATCTGATTCTAGGAGCTGTTCTTTCATCCACCAAGTTCTCTGGCCTCTGCCGAAAAATTAAGATCGAATTGCTCAACAGAGAACCTGAAACGGGCAGGAGAGAATAACAGAATAATAGCGAACTAATCATAATGGGGCGCTAGTTGTAGTTATAAGAAATGTTGAACATCCTTGCTCTGTTAATCATGGTTGCTTTGTCCTGATTAAAGAAAGCCCATTCTCTGACCTGGCTGGGAGCCATATGCCCTGGACATTTACCTCTGGAATGCCGTCCATTCTCCTTACCCAAGAACTGCCCCTCATCACGGAAAGACTGACAACCTTGGAGTCTTGGGGGCGGTGCACTGGAGGCAGCCGACATTCCCCAGCTCCCATTACTCTCTGCAACCGTTTTGCCAGTTGATACTCACTTTGCCTACTTCCCATGTAATACCCAGTATAAGTGGACCGGCAATGTAGGGAGTGCAGAACAGTTTTTTGCAGGGTGATTTGGTGACTGTCCCATACTGCAGGTAATATTGGAACAAATGCTCATCTACGAGTCAACTTTGTCTCTGCTTAATTGGCTCAAGTAGTGACAGGCAGCCCGGACCCATGTGTTGTCCGGTTTCAAACCCAGCTGCATCAGTTCTTAGAAGCATCGGTGAATGGAAACATGTATACAACATGTTTATGATAAGAAAAAATAATTACAATACTTTCATTATGTTAATAATCATTCAAAGGGAAACAGAACTATCTTCTGGGTGCCAGCATGGAATATTAATGATTAGTAAATTAAAGTGCATCAGTTTATATGATCTAAACATCTTCTCTGTGAGAGGGTCTATGTCAGGTTTTATGGGGGCTCCAAAGATGATGAAGTCTGCCCCTGCCTTCGGGAAGCCTACAGGGAAGCTAGAGAGACAGCAGACCACCACGATACACACACATTTGTTGGCGGAAGAAACGTCCAAACCTGTAAATAAAATTTTATAAGAATTTATTTAAGCCAAACTGAGGACATGTTGTGGGAAACAAAATCACAAATGCTTCGGAGAACAACAGTTCTGCAGCTCCTTTTATACATTGGAAGTTAAGGATGGAACTTAAGGAAGATGACCTGGAGGCGGGAGAAAGTAAAGATGGAATTACAGGAGAGTTAACACAATTATGTGACTGCTTGAAAATGGTTAGGTTTATTTTAAAGGTTTATTGTGTTAACCTAGATCAGCGGTTCTCAACCTGTGGGTTGCAACCCCTTTGGGGGTCGAATGACCCGTTCACAGGGGTCACCTAAAACATAACAGTAGCAAAATTATAGTTATGAAGTAGCAACAAAAATAATTTTATGGTTGGGGGTCACCACAACATGAGGAGCTGTATTAAAGGGTTGCGGCCTTAGGAAGGTTGAGAACCACTGACCTAGAAGCACAGAAACAGTGGACAGAATGTGCTTAAGGCAAAGACAAACCTTTTACTAAAAGTTATGCGCCTGGGGTGTGACTACCCACAATGACCTGCCTCTTTAGGAATTTATGATCGATCACCTGGTGAGTTACTTTCCATAGAACCCCACAAAAGGTGTACAGCCCAGAAAGTATATATAAGAGTTAATGCAATCCTTGAAGACAGATATCACAGAGCCATAGGTGATTAATCACTAAATGAATCCTACAGTTGATAACTGCTGTCGGAGGTTAAGGCAAGGAGCCATCCTCCAGGCTGGGATTGTAAAGGAAATTTTGTCAGGGAGATAGTGTCTGCATAGGATCTCAGAGGATGCCAAAAAATGTGAATAGCTCTAGGGGACAGGAAGGGTGTTCCAGACAGAATGAACACTGAGCATAGGTGTGGAGGCAAAAAAAAAAAAAAAAAATTGCTGGAAGTGCACATTTGAGGTGGGGACAGTAAACATGACACCTGATAGGACATTCTCTCAGTGACAACTCCTCACCCCTCAGGGCTGCTGCTGTGGAGAACCCGTGGTAAAGTGCCCTGGTACTAACCAATATCTAATTCTCTACCTGTGCCTGCCTGCAGGGAACCTTTGGTAACACGTTTGTCCAAGGGATGGGCAACCCCTTCCACCAAATCTTGTGTTCCTCCCATACCCCGGCGAGTGCTGTCCGTAGGTGGATTCCTTCAGAAGCGTAATCAACCCAAGAGTTGTTGGCTCTAAGTCTTTTGGAAACTAAAGCCAGCAAATGTCACTGCAGCTCTTCGTTGTGCCTGGAAAGCTCTTCCTGCAGTGGCCTGCCACCCTGCATCTTCTTCAGGTCTCTGCTTAAATGTCACCGCTCCACGGCTCTTCTCCCAACCCCTGCCACTGGCTTCTTCCCTGCAGCATTTAAACTCGAGTCTCTCTTATCTTAGGAACACACACATGTGACAACCCAGACACTCCACCTAACACACACACCCTTCTGCCTCTTGCCCTGTCTTTCTCTTCCTCTTCACAGCCAAGCTCGTTGGGAAAATGTTCTATCCCCTTTTGTGCCCACCTCTTCATTTTCTGTTCAGTCTGGCCTCGACATTAGTCACTGAAACTTCTCTGTCTGCAGTCACCAGATTCCCTCTCCACGCCCCATCTCTCTGCACCCAACCTCACTGCAGGGCCCCACAGTTAGGCCAGGCTGTTGCCCCCACTCTTCCCTCTACGGCTTCTACTCATCCCAGCTGTTTCAGGAGCTCTTCTGGCCCCAGGAAAGCCCCACTCCACCCTCTTATCCACCCCTTCCATTACTGGGTGAGATGCCCTATGTTCTGGCATAGCATCTCATGCTTAATATTTATCTACAGTTTCCATATTGCATGGAGATTTCTTGTTTACTTGTGAGCCTCCCTTGCTAGACATTAACTAGCCAAGTCTATATGTCACAGTTCCTTGTACTGTATGTTTGAGTTATGAGTTAATGAACAGATCCATTACTCCCAAGTTTTCTTGTACTCTTTCGTAATCCTTTCCTCCCACCGTTCCCTGATTCCGATAGGCCCTCGTATTATATTGATCATTTTAACATTATCATACAGGCTGTGCTTTTCATAAAATGCAATTATGGTAACTTTACTTTGCATTATATAAATTAGGATGTATTACAACAACTATTAATTTGGATACAAACAACAGTCCATTTATATAGAATAGATGGTCAAGAAAAAACCCACCAAAACATTTTGTGCCCATATAATTATACAGTCTATTTATTTATGGAATAAATGATTATCTAACAGTATAATTTACACTAAAGCCATAATTGTTTTTTGTCGCTGTTGTTGTTAATCTTCATCTGAGGACATTTTCTCCATTTATCTCTAGAGAGAGTGGAAGTGGGGGAGGGAGGGAGGAAGACAGAGAGAAAGAGAGAGAAACACTGATGTGAGAGGCACATCAATTGGTTTCCTCCCATACACACCCAGTCAGGGATCAAACCTGCAACCCAGGTACATGCCCTTGACCAGAAATCAAACCCAGCACCCTTTCGTGGTCAGGCCAACATTCTATCCTCTGAGCCTCACCGGCCAGGGCGAGCCATGATAACTCTTCATGAACTTGTTTTGGAGTTATCCAAATCTCCTTCGGTAGTTATTCTTAATAACAACTCCATTTCCTTCTTACAGATGAATAACGTGAACCGTCATAAAGGATACTTCAAGAGTCTGGCTAGTGAACTTCATTTACAGTCTGACCTGAATCAGTGCCTCTCAAACGTCAGCCACATCGAATCACTTGGAGGATTTGTTAAACACAGATAGTAAGCCCCATCCCCAGAGTTTCTGCGTCAGTAGTCTTGGGGACTACTGAAAATCTATACTTCCAATAATTCCCATGTGTTGCTGATGCTGCTGGTTGGGGTCCACACTTTGAGAACCACTGCTCGGGTACACAGCCAACAATCATTAAGGATAACTAGACTGCATTTCTAAGCTGACCAGCATCCAGAGAATTCCAAGGTCTTCTAGATGCCATCAAATCTACTGGAGCTCTCTAGAGGATCCATAGAATTCCAGACATCTCACAAACCATTTGGACTTCCAGATAAAGATAGGAACATTTGAAAGATTGGGGGTATAGCACTTGTTACACTTCTAGGAAAGCATTAGGCCCTTAGAGGCTCTCCTGACTATTGAGTCCAGACCACAGGGTTACCCTTCAGCCTACCTAATTGTGCACCTGGCCCAGTTGATTTATTCTCCTTAGCAGAGGAAACTCCAAAACTGGCTTTTGCATCCCACCCCTGCCCTATCATTCTCAGGAATATTATAGATCTGTTACATACACGCCTACTATTATAGCCATTTTGGTGAGTTTTATGATGATTATCATTTGCTTTCTGGTCCCTCTCATGCTAACAGTTTTGGCTGAGTAGCATGTTTTACTTCCTTTCCTCTTCTTCAGTAGTTGGTTTTGTGTTTTCTGCCAACAGAAGTAGATATGTGATTGATACTTGGGCAATTCTTTGACCATGCTTTGGAGTTGGAGTACAACCACCTCAAGCAAAACTCAGTGGGGCAAGTTACTCTTTCTTAGGAACTCACAACATGGAAAGGTATAACTCCGAGACCACCATTAACCATTATCTCTGCAACACGGAGAACACAGTGCCAACATATAACAAGAAACAGCCAAGAGAAGAGAACTTGATAATATTGTTCAAACCTCAATTAAATCATGCCCAACAACAGAAATACTCTTGTCATTCAGAATTATTTAAGACAATGTATTTCCATTTTAAGTAAACTAGTTTAAGTTGGGTTTCTGTCATCAATAAAATGTTCTGGTTATATAGTTCCAGAAATTAAACACTGGATAGGGGGGAAAAACTCCTATGCTTCTTCTCCATTCTCAATATTACACTCTACTCACAGAATACCTCACTTCTGACCCTCCTAGTCCCCAAATGTGTGAGGATTTCCCCCCCATACCAAACAATTGAGTGTCCTACAATTTAACTCAATTCTAACACAATTTACCTGGAGTTAGCAGATGCCAAACACAAATCCAGGTTGTCACCTGGGCTTCTGATCTTCATACTGACTATAAGTAAGAGGTTTCTACCACCCCATCGTTAGGTTCAATTATTTCCTATAATGGCTCACAAAACTCAGGGAAATATTTTACTTACTACTACCTATGTATTATAAAGAATATTGCAAATTAATTTTTGCTCAAATAAACTGCTAAAAATTTAAGATGCCTGTTCATCTTTTAATATGTTATCAGACCTTTCTTTAAATTTTTGTTTCTTAAGAACACAAAAATGTAAGCATAGTATACAGAGAGAAAATAACAAGAAAGATCAAACTGTCAACTGTCAGCATTTAGACAGCAGGTGAAAAAATAAGGAACATTTTCCATATATTGTCTTCTTTGATTATATCTAAAAGCAGGTGCCACAATCTATCTATCTGTCTCTCTCCACTCATAAAGTGAATCAAGAGCCTATGATCTCTGGTCCATGGTGTATGCCTCAACAGATAACAACCTGAGGTTTCAAAGCCGTGGAGAATTAATAATCCTAAGAATTCTACGTGGAGACCTCCAGAAAGGAAATAGTGCTGAGAGCTTGACTTACTGAGCAGTGGTCCCCCCCCAATGAGTCTGACTGGCAAAGGCTGCCCTGCCAGCTGGGGTGGCCGGCAATGAGGGGTGCTGCTTCGACTACTGCGGAGGAAGGTTTTCCTTTTTCTCCTCTTGACAGAGAAGAACGTTAAAAAACAATCTCATTAAACTTCTCAATCAGTAAGAATTTATACTAAGGAGGGTAAACATCAAATAAGTGTTGTTCATTCTTTGGCTCTAGTATCTACAATTATGTCCTGGTTAATTGAGGGTGAAAGAAAATTGTAAAATAAGCTTCAGCTCCCTAGGGCAATGAGGAGTCAGAAATTTAAGTATGAAATTTTGATTATGAAAACACTTTTTCAGCAATAGATGGATAAAAGGAGGCACACCATTGCTGTAATAGAGACAGGTCCATGTTTAAATGATAGGAGAAAGACCTAAAGAGGTAGGACTGTAAAATAAGGTGTGGGGAACTCTCTTTACAATTTACATTTTAAATTACTTTTGCAAGGGAATAATTCTGGCATAAAAATTTTCATGGTGGATTTTTTTTGTCAAGGTCAAAAGGGCAAATGGAATATTTATGCTTTTGAAGAAGAACCTCTTCAGGAGCATTGTGTGATTCCTGAAGAGAGACACTTCCTACAGCGGGCAGGAAGTGCCTTGACCTGCCTAAAATAGCTTATATACTGGCCTAAGAGTTAACTAAGATATAAATAAAATTGAATCTTCTATAAGAAAATTTAAGATTTTTGAGCTAGGATGTGCCATAATGATGGTATATAAGAGTATCTAAAGTGGTGTTATTGTTGTGGTTTTAAAGAATCAGTGAGACTTTATAGAATTTCTGAAGTAATTTAAAGGTTTGGACTATAATTTTTCTGTGGAATTTTCACTGGTATGCCACAAGAATAGTCCCTTAATTTCTTCCTATATTAAGTTTTCAATAGAGTCCACTGAGTAGATTCTTTTTCTATCACAAATACATATTTAAATGAATAATTTAAATAAAGGGAATCAATTTATTATGTGACATATTTCTGTACAGAAGGCTTATCACAAATGCATTCATTTCTTAAATTGGAAGAGTCTCTGTAATGATTTATAAAGATAACATTGGTTATATTTAATTATTTTAAGTAGCTCTGTAAAGTATTTTAGAGCTGAATACCATTTGCTGTTTTATAATGTAGTTACTTCCAGGATGATTTCTTTTTTAAAAAAATTAATTTATTTATTTATTACTGTTACAGTTGTTTCTTTTTTTCCCCCCTCTGATACTCCCCTCCTCTTCCCTCCCCGCCCTGTCCCCAGCTTTGTTGTCCATGTCCATTGTTCATGCACACATGCATATAAGTTCTGTGGTTTATCTCCCTCCCACCCCCCAGGATGATTTCTTTTGTACATTTACTAATACTGGGCTGCTAACTATAATTTTGGCCTATTATTAGTATTGGTATTTTTAATCCATAATATGTGTTCAGGTGGGCACTGTTTTCTTTTTAATAATATCTGTAATTTTTCCCATGTGTCCTAGTTCTAATTCCTATATTTTTGGTCACAAAACCGACATAATTAGTAGAATTATCAATCAGAATAGGAAAATGTAATACTTTTACTTATATTAAGTTTCTACTTAATAACTATACTATTAATTTGATGTTATGATTGTATCTAGTTGTCAATAATACCATCATCTAACCTGAATATTTCAATTCTATTCGTTTCAGTTTGATGGTTTGCTTAATTAAACTAAATTTATCTAAATTAGTTTTTGTATTTTTTTTTTAACAAGTGGATGAGTTAAAGGTCAAAGAAAGAAAGCAATCCACTAACTTATATGTACAATAAAACCACAAAATCATTAAGATAAGTAAAGTGGGTTCAATGCAAGCAACAACTG